AGTATCCTTGATGAAGATAGATGCAGAAATTGTCAACAAAATACTAGCAAACTGAATCCAATAGCACATTGAATATATTATTCAGTATGATCAAGTGGGATTCATCCTAGGAGAACAAGGATGGTTCAACATATGCAAATCAATAAATGCAGTATATTACATCAACAGAATGAAGGACAAAAAAAACCCATATGATCAGGGCTGGGGGTATAGCTCAGGGGTAGAGCACTTACCTAGGATGCACAAGGTTCAATCCCGAGTACCTCCACCTCATTACCACAGCAGTCATATAATCATCTCAATAGATGCAGAAAGGCATTTGATAAAATTCATCATCTCTTCATGATAAAAACATGGAACAAATTAGGTATGGAAGGAATATATACCTCAATATAATAAAGGCCAGTTATGATAAACTGACAGCTGGGCCTATATCCCAGCACTCCGGCATCTAAGCAGGAAGATCGTGAGTTTGAGGCTACCCTGGGCTACATAGCAAGACCCTTTCTCAAAAAAACAAAACAAAAAAGTCAACAGTTAACATACTAAGTGGGGAAAAGCTAAGAACATTGTAAGAGCTGTAACAAAAGGAGGACACCCACTTTCACCACTTTCATCCAGTATAGTACTCAAAGTCCTAGCTAGAGCATTCACCAAGAGAAAGAAGGAAAGGACATCCAAAGCCTGGTGTGGTGGTGCTTGTGGAGCTGCTGTAGGAGGATCACTTGAGTCCATGAGTTCAAGGGATCCTGGGCAGCATGGCAAGAACTATTCTCAGAAACAAATAGGAAAGATAGAAGGGAGGAAAGGAATTGGAAGGGAAGAAAGAGAAGCGAAGACAGGACATTTAAATTGAAAAGAGGAAGTCAAATTGTCACTTTATAATGACATAATCTTATATATAGAAAATACTCAAAATTCCACTCAAGATGGTCAGTTCTAATAAGGAAATTTAACAAAATTGCAGCATACAAAAAAACCAGTAGTATTCCTATGTACCAGCAGCAATTTACCTGAACTAGAGATTAAGAAAACAATCCCATTTATAATAGATACAAAAAAAAAAATACATGGGAATAATATAAACAGAGGTCAATGATCTCTACAGAGAAAATTGTTGACGAAAGAAATCAAAGAAGACACAAAAAATGGGGAAGATAGCCATGTTCATAAATTAGAAGAATCACTATTGTTTAAAATGCCCATAGTACCCAAAATGATCTACAGATTTAGTGTAACCCTTATCAGAATACCGATGATATTCTTTAAAGAACTAGAAGAATGATAATAGAATTTATGTACAATCAGAAAAAAAACCTGAATAGCCAGAGCAATCTTAGGTGAAAAGGACAAAACAGGAGGCATTACACTACTTTACTTCAAATACACTATGAAGCTGTAGTAAGCAAAACAGCATGATGTTGACATAGAAACAGAAAACACATAGATCACTGGAACTGAATAGAGAGCCTAGAAGTAAACTCACACATCTACAGCCATCTGATTTTTAACAAAGGTGGTAAGAGCATGCGTTGGAGAAAGACCAGCCTTTTCAATAAATGGTGGTTAGCAGAGGCTGGGGAGAGTAGGACTGAGGGAGGGACACATGGAGAAAGGTTATGAATAGGCACTAAGTTATAGTTCGGAACAAGAAGTTCCGGTGTGCTGTTATTATACAGTAGGGTGTGTCTGTAAATTTCAAAGAGAAAATATTTACAATATTTTCACTATAAAGAAATAATCGAAGCCAGGTATTGGTTATACCTATAATCCCAGTGCTTGGGAAGTTAAGACAGAAGACCATAAGTTTGAGGCCAAGCTGGACTACATAGTAAGACCTTGTCTCAAAAATAAATAAATAAATAAAGGAGATTGAAAAAATGAGAGATAGTAAAAAGCATTCTTAAAATTCAGAATTCATTCAAGTGTTGTCATAATCATAGACGTAATGCCCCCTTTCCTGTTTAGTTTTTGTCATTGTGTTACTTCCTGAACGAAGCATTACTGAAACACATGCTCATTGGTGACTCTTTGATGGAGGTGTGGTATTGGGTTTGGCCTAGCCTGTATCCTTATGAAATCACAAGCTTTGTCAGGTTAAAATGTACCTTCCCAGAGCATGGAAACTCAGGGTGGTGTGAGGTTCTGGGTCAGTCATGATACTGAAGTGTAGTAACCAAAATGGGCCTCCCATTAACAGGCCATTCCTGTCTGTGTGGGAGGTCGCCAGGGCAGGAAAGACAAGGACTATGCACAGAACGGCTTTGTCTGCCATGGGTGCCACCCACTCTTCCTGCACCAAAGTGCCGCATTCCTGGGGTTGCCTCTTGGACAGGGTAATGGGAGTTGTTAACAAGGGTGTTTTGTTGGCTCTTGGCTCCTGCAGGTGAAGGCTTGTTTCCTCCTATGCTGTGGCCCTTCTGGTAGTTGCTCTGCTTTTCCCTGAGCTTCTGCAAGGAGGATTTTCACTAAGCTTTGAAACCAGTGCTTCCACATCCAGTCTTTGGATGAATACAGAGTGTGCACTAATGAATGAAGAGTGTCCAGTGAGACAGGGTTGACTGTGAGCAACCTGTTCTCGGCCATTCCCACAACCAGGGCTGGAGAATGTTTTGCCAATACTCTGTTTTCACTGCAAGAGTCCCCGAGCGCCATTCCACTTTCTGTTCTCTTCCCCACTCCACTTCTGTTTGTATTTCTTGTCCAGAAGTCTGGGATATTCTTTTAGACCACCTGGATGCTATGACCTTCATTCTCTTCAAAGTATGTGTTATAGTCACCTCCTCCGTGGCACATGGAACAGTCTCTAAGACATTTAAGGAAATCAAGAAATATCTCTTGTTCATAGAGAACGTATTAAATTGGAGAGGCTTTCTGCCACTTTCAGAAAGCACATTTATAGAAAAAATACAGGGATGTAAACCAGACATCCATGTCCTCAGCTAAAAGATTTTTTCCTCTGGAATATTCTGTTACTACTATTCTTGAATGAACCCTAGAGTTCCAAATACACATCGTGAGTCTTTCCTTCTTCTAGCTACAAGCACTATTCATCAGGTTCCTGTTTTCTCTTGTTCCTACATGCACCCTCCAGGCAGACTTTCCATACAGAGGCAGGGGAAAGGTATTGAAATACCACGTGTCATCCTCTTGTTCTCTGCCTGGTGTCTCTGCCACCTGGAACAGTCCCACAGGATCTTTGCTTTGGGCACTCCCAGCAGTCCAGAGCGATGCCCAGGGCTGTCTTTTGGTGGCTCTCAGTTCACCATGTGCCATTTTTCTTATATAATCACTTGCACCTCTTTGTTGTTAATTGGATTTTGCAATCCCATTGTCATCCTAGGTGGTGGGGGTGGACCTGTAAAGAGAGAAGAAAAAAAAAAAAGAAAGATGAATGAGTGGGAAAATAGGGCATGTGAGAACTCATTGCAACTGTAAGGAGAAGCATTTCACAGAAAACCCCAGCCCTAGAGAACTGAATATGGAAAACCCAGGAGGAGGAATAAGCAGTGTGGTAATGTGGGAGTCAAGCCAGGTCAGAGACTGTGATCATTTTAAGATGTGGAACTGGTGGCCTCACATAAGCATATGTTCACAACACGTACAACACATACACAATATTTGTAGATGGGAATGAAGCCTAACAGCAAGAGCCCACCGATGCTTCGTGGGGACTGAGAGGAATAGAATTCTACTGTTGGTGTCTTCCAAAGGAAGAGGAAGGTGTGTTCATTTCTCAACAAAAACTGTCTTTGAGATACTGTCATTTTGTGGATCTCTCTTACTTCTACTCCACCTTTAAAGTTTGGTGGATTGCTGAGCATGGAACCCAGAGCCTCCAGTATGTTAGATATGCACTGTACTCCTGAGCTACATCCCCAGCCTCCTAGAAGTGGCTTTTACTCCACCTTCATCCTTAGCTCTGGTCCTACTTCAGCATGAGGAAAACCTTGTTGGAAAAGAAATTAAAATTTCTCTACTGGACAGAAAATTAATCAGGGCCAAATGCAGTCAAGGATACAAGCAAGCTAGAGTACTTGTTCCCTTGCTGAGAGTGTTTTATTATTATGTAAATGAGATTAACTGCAAGCAGTGAAGGGGGGTAGTTGAGAAGGATGGAGAGAAATGAAAGGCAATCAGGTTCCTTAGGATTTAAACTGTGCAAAAAATGTTTTTAATAGCATCCACTGCCTCTTGGTCCATCAAAACATTGAGCAGGGGAAGCTCCTCAGCCTCATTTGTCATTATTTTTGCAAAGTAGCCTTCATGGCAGTGTGATTCACTGCAATTTATTCATTTCATAACACTTCTAGATCACCCACCTTCAACCAGGCCATATGCCAGGGGCTAGGGTTAAATAATGAAAACACCTTGTTCTGTCTTCTGGAGGTATATAGTCGGGAGGGAGAGAATACTGGAAATTCACACATAATCTAGCTGAGTAGAAATGGTGTTATACCATGTAAGGTTATGTGGTTGAAAAGTAGCTGAAACATACTCTGGCAAACTTACAACTAAGCAAAAAGCAGTGAATTAGTAAAAGGAAAACTGGACAGCCGTAAAGAAAGGCATAGGTACTGGGAACTAAGGGACAGTCCTTCAAGGCTGTCAATGAATCAATACCAGGCAACCTTAGGTTTATTGGCTCAAGATTCAATTCCCAGAAGAAGGTAATTGATGGACCCAGCTTGGACCACTTGCCTACAGGAAAACAGGGCACCTGGATAGTTTGACAAAACTGTGTACAAAGTCTGAAAGACTGTTTCCCAGATTGAGGATGAGTGCTAGCAAAGCAAAGCATTTCAGGTCCTCCAGGGGCATCGTAAAATTTAGCTGTTGATGTGTCTCCTGTGGTCGCTGGCCGAGGAGCAGATGTATGTTTTATTTGGAGCTCACTGGGTGTTGAAGTTGTGATGGTTTGAGGCCATAGAACATAGAATCAATCATTCCCCAAAATGTGTGAACTCATCAGCTCTTGTGTCCTGTCCTCTCGGTCGTAGTGTGAGCAGTCGCACCTCATGAGAGAACATGAGGACGTCCAGGAGCGAACCACGCTTCGGTATGAGGAACGCATCACAGAACTGCACAGCATCATTGCTGAGCTCAACAAGAAGATAGACCGTCTGCAGGGCACCACCATTAGGTAAGGAGGCCCAGTCCTTGCTCCCCCTCCACCCCTCTGTGCTCCCACTTGGTGTTGGAGTTGGGCAGTCCGTGTGAATTAGGATGCTTTCTTTGTAACTGATTTTCACCATGTATATATCAAATACTTATTTCTTTCCTTTGCTACCCGTGTGCCTTTCCCCCCACAGTTCTGTTCTGATTTTGAGCCTCACAATTACCCTAGGGGGCAGCCAGGATGCAAGTTGTGATCCTCAGTTCATTGATGAGGGTGGGGCGTCAGAAGTTGAGTGAAGTGCTTTATTAGGGATTTCTAAGTGGACTCCCACCCCACCTCCATCTTAGAGGCTGACCTTATTAATTTTCCAGACTTCTCCTCATAGGTAAACAGTGTTCCTTTGGAGGTTTTGAGAGCCGCAAGAATGTGGCTCCTAACTAAGCATTATGTAGGCTTCTAGATAATCTGTTAGTATTTTGAGCTGTTCCCAAGTTGTTTTTCAGCAGTGACTTATCCACTTACCAGACTCTTAAGGTGGTGGAGGGAGCAAGATTTGACGCATCATTTACTGGTAAGAAGACTTAAAAGTAGGTAGTGCGCAGGTGGAGTCAAACCCAGAACATCTCTGCCTTGACTAACTTTTCTTTCCATAGAAGTAACCGTCAGGGCTTCTGGTCCCCTGACTTGTCTGTCAGTTGAACCATGGGGCTCCAGCACACAATGCCTAGCTGGGTGGGTCTGCCTTGTTCTGGGGGTCTTATTGAGTGACGTATTGAGCCAGGGATGAGAACTCTCATCTTGGTAGAGGTGCTCAGGGGACAGCTCTGAGGAAAGCAAATGCTTGGCACCTACCATATTGAACAAAGAGCTGTTTGTTCACTGAGCATTTATATAAACCATAATTAAAAGTCTTAGGCTCTAAATTCTCCCTGGAGAAGTCCTGGGCCAGAGGAAACTTTGCATGCATTTTGTTCTAACTCTGAGAGTCCCAGTAATGATGGGCTTCTTTATGAGGGTATTGATGGGCATCTGTTTTTTGGGCAAAATCATGGAAAATTTTGCACCAAGCTGGAGCCACCAATAAGTTTCACTTCTAGTTTAGAAGTCTGAGGCTTCTAAATTGTATCCTGGTCATCAGAGTGATTGTAGGTTACAAATGCATGAGCAGAGAAGAATTTTCTGCCCAAAGAAATTATTATAGTAGATTTAAAGGAGCCTAGCAGAGGACCTTGACAAATTTGTAATTTACATGAAAACAGTTGCACTATTAAGCACCTGAGAAGGTGAAAGCAACGGAGCTCAGTGGGTTGGGAAAATGATGTATCACACATCACCCAGAAAACACAATTTCATGAAGTTTCAGTTGAATTCAATGGCCAACATACTTCCCTTTCAAACACAGTAAGCTGCTTGACCATAAATGTTTATCAGTGCCTCATGTTTAAAGGAAGATTGCACCCGTTCAGGTGTCACGGTAAATTCTGCCTGTCCTCATTATGTAAATGAACTAGCCCCTCCTCAATGAAGCTCCGTGTAAGGCTGTGAGACACTTGGACACTGCTTTTCCTATTCTCTGAGCTCCAGAAGTGAAGACATCTCTCCTGCTTCCAGCCCACCAGGAAACACATTTGACCTCAGTTCCCAGTAGGCTGTGGCAGACACTTAAGATGAACTTATGTCCAGGGCTGTCACCAAAGTCCAGAGAATTGATTGTTATGCTAGTCTGGTCTCATTGAAGTTAGTCCTACTCAAAGACTTTGTCAGTTCAGCCTGGACCTGAGTTAGTAATGTATTGGAGAAGTTGAAAAACCATTAGTAAGGGAATCTCTGCATATACGAAAACCATGATATATCCACACTTAAGCAATATTTAAGTACTTAAGGAGAGAAATAACAATCTCAGAGGTTGAAAATTTTATGCCATGCGTGGTGGGGTACATCTGTAATCCCAGCACTCAGGAGGTTGAAGCAGAAGGATCATAAGTTTGAGGCCAGCCTGGACTACATAGTAAGATATTATCTATAAACAAACAGGTAAAATACTTATTTGAGGCTACAAGCAGAGAACCAGAACCCTTCTGTGGCTGCCCTAGAAAACTCCCATCTCTTACAGCCATAGGACTAACATGGCTATAAATCCCAAGTTGTAGATTGCTAGTTCCCAGTAGTAGTGGAATCCACAGCCATTTCAGATTTTGAAGGTGAAAATTAAGCCATAACAGGGCAAGATGAAGTGGTGAGAATTTGAATGGGGACATATGGGGTCAGTCAAGAGAACCCTAATACCTAGCAATTACCAGCTCAATGAACTTCCCTTCCTACAGAAGCAGTCCTCCTTCCCCCTCTGATAAATCTCCTCCCTCCTCCCTCAGAGACTCTGTAGTGATCTCATCCCAGATAGGGGGTGGCAGATATAATTTCCTCTTTATCAAATTCTATCAACCTGGGAGGAATAAATGAAAAAATTCAACCTGAGAGGGTATAGTTAAAACACCAAGAGATTTGTAAGATTTTGTTAATTTAATGGAAATTTGGGAGGATACATGTGGGATTAGGACCTAGACCTATATCAGAAAGGGGAGATAGTAGTGTTAGATTGATGATGAATATGTTAAAATGACTTTGTTTCAGAGATTTTGGATCCATTATGTTAGCTTCAGCAGTTTGATTAATTGCAAACTAGGCTCAGTGGAAGACTACATTAACTCAGGTTCAGGTGTCACACTTCTCTGGCATAACATAGGAGGAGCTCAGAGACTTGAGACAGCAATGTTGTGTGAGAGATGACATCATTAAAAGGGGGGTTTTGTGCCATTGACCTGCTGGGTCATTGTGGGCTTGGTTAGTGTATTATTGGTCAATAGAACCACAGTAGTAATCAAAATGGTTTGACCTATAGGGGTCTTTGGTAGTGGCCAAACTCATCATATAGAAGTGACATGAATAACTGTCTGGTAAACAGAGACTTGACTTGCCATCATGATGGAGAATCATGGCTTCTTACCCAATTCCCTAACCTGACCACGTTCACACACCCAGAGTCCCTCGAATGAAGGTGAAAACACATTCAACCCCATCATTAGCAGGCACCCCTTCCTAAGAGAACTGTAGCCATCCATAAAGGGAATTGTTCAGTGGGAAGGAAAGACATAACCATACTGAGGTATGATAATGGACCTTGGCTCAGATAGTTCCTGGAGATCAAAATGCTAACAGTCTGCCAGTCAGAGTAAGGATTTGTGGAAGTCGGTCTGCTTGTAACAAAAAACTATAGACTGGGCAGCTTAATCCAAAGATCAAGATGTCAGCTAATTCTATTGCCCAGCGAACGCTGTGCCTTCTCATTGTATCTTCTTCATGTGGCAAAGAAGAAGAAAGTGACCTGTCTGATGTCTCCATCTCTCCTCTCTCCTCCCTCCCTCTCTCTCTCCCTCTCTCTGTCTTTCTCTCTCTCTCTCTCTCTCTCTCTCTCTCTCTCTCTCTCTCTCAGGGAATGCTATACTAGTGTTTGAATTCAGGACCTTGCACTTGCTAGTCAGGTGCTCTACCATTTGGCCACGCCCCCAGACTGTTTGGCTTTGGCTATTTTTGGGATTATCTTATGATTGTGCCCAGGCTGGCCTATACTTTGATCATCCTGTTTATGTCTCCCCTGTAGCTGGGATGACAGGCACATGTCACTACACCCAGCTTTTTATTGGCTGAAATGGGGTCCTTGGAGCTTTTGTCCTAGGCTGCCCTGGAACTGGTATCCTCTGGATCTTTGCCTCCCTAGTAGCTAGGATTATAAGCATAAGCCGCTGCTCTCGGCTTGATATCCCTTCTTATAAGGGTACTAATTCCAGCAAGAGGACCCTGCTATCATGACATCACCTAAACCTCTTAGCTTCCAAAGGCCTCATCTCCAAATACCATCATATTGGGGCTTAGGACTTCAACCTGTGAATTTGGGGTACACAGTTAAATCCATGGCAGAAAGTCAGGTGACAGTGAAATTATTGTCTGGATCCATCCCATAAGTGAACCTAGTTGTGGCACCATGTGAAAAGCAACCTTTTTCAGTGCCCTGGAGATAGTGGTAAACACTCCTAACTAGCAACAGTTTATGGCGCTACCTTTTTCAGACTCAAGGACCAAGAAGAGAAATAGAAGTGGTTCTTCTCGTTTGTGCACCTAAAAGCCCACTTAGAGGCATTATTGCTTCTCACCCTTGCAACTTTGAGCTCTGCTGTGTTTCAAGTCTTAATTCCCAAGGGAGCAGTGCCTCCCCAAGAGAACACAATAACGGTTCCATTGACTGCAACAGGGTCTTTGGAGGAATTTCATGACCATTGAACCATCAAACAAAGAAGATGGTTATTGTACTGCCTGAGTTGGCTTTGTCACCCCAGGAAATTGTGTTTTACTATAGTATACAGTAGTAAAGACTATGTGTGAAACATGAGATTTTCACACCTCTAGAAATTGTCCTGTGGTAAAAGTTAGTAGATTAGAACAACTCAGTACAGGGTCAGATCTTTCAGGAATATTTTGGATTACCTCACTAGGTGAAGAACTAGTTCTAGCTGGTTTACATCTGTAAATCCAACATTTGGGAGTTCTGGGGAAACTCTCATGAGTTCGAGGCCAGCCTGGGCAACATAGTGAATTTAAGGCCAGCCAAATAACATAGTGAGACACTGTCCCAAACAAACAAAAACAAAAATTGACTCTAACTAGTTGAGATGCTGGCCTGACACAAAGAGATACGGATATCCTGGTAGAAGAAGGAAATTATAAAAAGAACGATTATAGCCTCAAGACTAGTTGCAGAAAGGATGGTTTAGGTCATGGTTATTTTCTTGCTTATTTACATATATTTGCATTCCCCTTTCTCTTTATTTTCTCCTATTTTACATATAAGGTGGTGAGTTGGTATTGGTGAAACTTGTCATTTGGTAGTTAGGTTACATGGTATCTAGATGGGTTTTTCATTGAAGTAGAAGATCACTAATAGTGGCGACCATAACTAATGGAACTTTGGT